GCGTTGTGGCGGGCGCCTGTAGTCCCAGCTACTTGGGAGGCTGAGGCAGGAGACTCGCTTGAGCCCAGGAGTTGGGAGGTTGCTGTGAGCGTGATGCCATGGCACTCTACCCAGGGGGATAGCTTGAGGCTCCGTCTCAAAAAAAAAAAAAAAAAAGAATAGGGTTAACCTTCCTTCCTTCCTTCTTTTCTTTTTTTTTTTTTTTGAGGCAGAGCCTCAAGATGTCACTGGGGGTAGAGTGCTGTGGCATCACAGCTCACAACAACCTCCAATTTCTGGGCTCAAGCAATTCTCTTGCCTCTGCCTCCCTTGTAACTGGGATTATAGGCACCTGCCCCATGGCCTGGCTATTTTTTGGTTGGAGCCATCCTTGTTGTTTGGCAGGCCCGGTTGGGATTTGAACTGGCCAACTCACGTGTATGTGGCTGGCACCTTAGCTGCTTAAGCCACAGGCGCCAAGACAGGGTCAGCTTTCCTTTGAGCCCTTAGCACTCTACTATTTGCTTTGTCTTTCCTTTTGTTTGTTTGTTTTTCCCACCAGCACAATGGCTGACACACAGTAAATCTGAGTTGAAGGAATGAAATCTGTGATTTTGTTGGCTGTGGCTTACCTTGGAAGCCAAGTAGGAAGCAGATTAAGCTAAGAGGTCTCAATAGAGAAGTGAGAGATCCAGATGGGAAAGTTGGAAGAGAGAAGTTAGATAACTCTTGTCTAGAGAGATTGTTCTCTGGGGCTGTGCTGACAGGGAAAATTCTCAAGAGCTGTTCCAGAGAGAAAATCCCTCACCTCCTAAGAGAACAACAGGACAGAAGTATCCATTGCCCCCTCCACCTTTAACCTAAGATTGTTTTCTCTATCAGGTATGTAGGCATGCATTTTTGAGGATCTTTGAAATGCTTAGGAACTGAACAGATTTTCCATGTTAACTCTAAAATATAAGAAAACAGGGCCAAGCAAGGTGGCTCATGCCTGTAATTCTAGCACTCTGAAAGGCCGAGTCGGGTGAATTGCCTGAGCAAGAGCAAGACCCAGTCTAAAAATAGCTAGGCATTGTGGTAGGCAATTACTTGGGAGGCTGAGGCGAGAGAATCACTTGACCACAAGAGTTTGAGATTGCTGTGAGCTATGACACCATGACACTCTACTGAGGGAGACAAAGTGAGACTCTGTCTCCAAAAAAAAAAGAAAAAAAATATATATATATAAAAGAAAACCATAAAAAGTAATATTTTACTAAACATATATAAAGTAGCAATGTCAACTATTAACAGCAACTCAGTTCAATTATTTGTAATTTTTTTTT